CAAACCGTTTGCTACCGATTCTCATACCACTCAACATATCAGTCCATTTGCCACTAAGTTTGACGCGAAAGCACTTCTTCGCAGTGCTATCAATAGAGACAAACAGTTTGCCTAATGTGTGGCTGTCGTCAAAGAGCCATCCCTTATATCGGAGCTCTATGTGATCACTATCTTCGGCGACGACCGCACTCTTCTCATTGCCGAGCATTAAGTCTTGCGTCAGAATCGATGACTCCGTGGCCGACGACTTGTTTCGCCACGAATTGTATTTACAAACAGTTAACTGACGATTAAAATTGCATTTGTCTTCTTCGGTGTCAAACATNAGCCATCCCTTATATCGGAGCTCTATGTGATCACTATCTTCGGCGACGACCGCACTCTTCTCATTGCCGAGCATTAAGTCTTGCGTCAGAATCGATGACTCCGTGGCCGACGACTTGTTTCGCCACGAATTGTATTTACAAACAGTTAACTGACGATTAAAATTGCATTTGTCTTCTTCGGTGTCAAACATTAGGGACCAGTTTTGGCGGTTGTCGTCATAGAAAGTGCTGTAATTGTTTGGTTGACACTATTATTACAAAAACAAACAGTCAATCAATTTATTGTGGAAATAGTTTCAAACAAATAGATTTACAATTAAATTAAATGTGTCGGTAATCGAGGCGACAGTTATGTGCTGTTGTTTACCGGTATATAAAACCATTTTATAACTGCCGGTGTCCTGATTGCCGAGTAGGGCGGCGCCCAGTTTGCCCTGAGCTGTGTATTTATCGTTATCACTGTATAAAAAACAACAACAAAAATGATCATCATGTAAATATTTACCCAGGGCAGCGTAACAAACAGTGAACTCTACTCTATGTACAGTATTATCGTATATTAAATTATAAACTAATGGCTAATACAGTATATATAGGGGAGGAGTGGTTAACACAAATCATACAAACAATTTAAACACATTGACAGCCGAGGCGTGTATTAAAGTCATGACAGCGTTTGTTGGGCTACTGTTGACGGTATCGGCGCCCGAAGTGGTGGCCATTTCTTATGTATTAAACATAAAGCAGACAATTGATTAATATTGTGTCAGAAGCTCAAGACATGACATCAATTAATACCGAATCTCTTGGGCTGTTTGGGAGCCGTATATATAAGCGACTTATTGGACGCATCGGTGTCTAAATGAGTTTGATTGGTGCCGAAGAGATTGGCCAGTTTGGTGCTGAGGGTGACAATGGTTTGTAGACATCGATGGTGTGGTTTTGGGATCAGAGACAACACATCATTAGTTAAATGAGTGGCAAATCGTAACCAAAAAAAAAATGCAAAACAAAACATAATTGAGTTATAAATTAAGTGATACTATGAATGACAGCAAACCTGGTCTCGGGTTTAATGAAGTCGTCGTCGTCCTCATCGTTGGCCACATTTGCAAACATTGTCTTCAATTTAATTGTTTTAAACCAGTGTTTGATTTGCAATCAATTGTAAAATAAAGTGCTTTTAATGTTTGTATTGAAAAAAGTGTAAACATTTCAAAACACCCAACGCTTTGACGTCAGACACCGTTGTGTGCATTGAATGAGTCGTTCAAACACTTTGTGACAAACATTTCATTTCAAACTCAATTTAAATGTGATTTGAATTGTGAGGAAAGGCTTGTTTGTGACATCACTTCACCGATTAGGCCGTGTCTTCATCGAACACACCTCTTGTGTATAACCACTCATTGTCTTTAATCGCTTCCTCGCCCGAAGACATTACGAAACGAAGTGTCAAAAAGTTTGAAAACTTTAAACCAGAAAAAAGTAAAGTAAAAAGTTTTTACTAAAAACAATCCAAACATTTAATGCACACATAAAGCGATTAAAACAATAAATTTGAATATTTATAAAATTAAAAACAAAATTAATTTAAATAATGTAAAACAAAGTGATAATAATTTTATTTCATTTTAATTTAATTCAATAATTGTTTGCATTTAAATACAATTAGTATTACTTTTAACAAAACCATAAATAAATACCGCATTAATTATCAAAGACTTAGAATTTGTATATTTTTGGTAATACTTGTGGATCTGTTTTGAAACATCTCTTTGACGATCCTATCGATCTCATTGATTGCCAGCTGTGCGTGAAGTTGAAGAATATCATCGATTGTGGTCGAGTAGACGTGTCGCAGAAGTCGGTAAATTTCCTTCAGGAGCTGATCCACCGCTTCGATGGTATCTCTATCTATACCCTTAAGCATAAGATGTAATAACATTACTGAAGAGCGTTTCACTTCAATTGAATGGTCAGTCTTGAGTAGCGCTTCCACGCAAGACATCAGTTCCACGAGATATGGTTTGAGTGCAAAACGCAAAGAACCGCAAAACTGTCCCAAATTGGATAAACTGGAGATACGTATCGCCGGTTCCGGAGATTTGGCGCCATTAAGAAAACAAGTGATGTATTGTCGGGAGTAGTGGTGACCAAAATCGCCGATACATTTGGAAAGTCGGACCAACACTTCGCCCACTTTGACGCGCTCTTCTACGGGTCGCTCGCTGTCGGCGAACTCCTGGATCAGTACCGGCAGCACATCATCAGTGCATTGTATGGCGAGTGTGGACAGTGTGTTGACGGCCGACAAATAGATGTAAGACTCGGTGTCGTTCAGACACATCTTAAACAGTAATTATATGTAATTAAAGCATTTCTAACTTTAATCTAACATTGATTTCCACAATCCATACCTTCAAAGCGTTGATGAGTTGAGATCTATTGTCCAACAGTTGTTTGTCTTTGGCATAAATCAATTGCTTCAATTTGATGAGCGCGTGAGCCCTCGCAGGCATTATAGGATCATTGAGTTCAGTCATCGCTAATTCAAACTCGTTGTTTAATTTACTATTACCTCCGATGAAGTCCTTATGATTGCTAAACAATTCAATTTGATTCTTCATCTCAATGGCTGTGTTTCGTAGAGTTTCATCAAATGCTTGATTCATCGACAGTACGTTCAGCGAAGGAACCAATTGTTTCAATTGATTCGTGTCTTCACTTTTGAGTTTGTCTTTCTCTTTAAGTAATATCTTCACGATTTGCAAACACATTGTCAGTGAGTTTTGTTTCATTTCTGATAATTCATTGTCGGCGAACTCCTGGATCAGTACCGGCAGCACATCATCAGTGCATTGTATGGCGAGTGTGGACAGTGTGTTGACGGCCGACAAATAGATGTAAGACTCGGTGTCGTTCAGACACATCTTAAACAGAAATTATATATAATTAAAGCATTTCTAACTTTAATCTAACATTGATTTCCACAATCCATACCTTCAAAGCGTTGATGAGTTGAGATCTATTGTCCAACAGTTGTTTGTCTTTGGCATAAATCAATTGTTTCAATTTGATGAGCGCGTGAGCCCTCGCAGGCATTATAGGATCATTGAGTTCAGTCATCGCTAATTCAAACTCGTTGTTTAATTTACTATTACTTCCGATGAAGTCCTTATGATTGCTAAACAATTCAATTTGGTTCTTCATCTCAATGGCTGTGTTTCGTAGAGTTTCATCAAATGATTGATTCATCGACAGTACGTCCAGCGAAGGAACCAATTGTTTCAATTGATTCGTGTCTTCACTTTTGAGTTTGTCTTTCTCTTTAAGTAATATCTTCACGATTTGCAAACACATTGTCAGTGAGTTTTGTTTCATTTCTGATAATTCATTATCCGATTGGCTATCAATACCTTCCTCGGCATTCACGGCACCAATTGATCCGTCAATGGGCTGTTCCGCTAACCTTTCAAACGTATTAATGACAAACTGAATGGATTTTTGGGGAAAATTACTGATAATTTGTGAAACGCTTTCATGGATAGAGTCGACGAGAGCACAGGTCAGAAGTGACGGCTCATTGAATGTCATTCTTTCAATTAATAGCAAAAATAAGTCAATTTTAAAGTTTTCATTCACTTTTGATAGTAATTGTAACACAAACTGAACGATTGTATCGATTTGTTTGAGATTTAATTCAAGACAACCCTTCGTGTCATAACTCTCTTCATTCGTTTGTTTGTCTAAAGACTTTTTGTGTTGAAGTCCTATCACACCATCGCTGACACAGACTTCATATTTATTGATCAGATGATAGTTATTGTATAAAATATTGTCCAAAAGGTATACACTCTGTTTGATTGAACTCATTATCTCAATCATTATATTATTAAGTGTTGTCTTGTAATGAGAAAGTGATTCTTCGAGAACTACTCGACAATAAAACAAATGAGAAACAATTGGTATAAACTTTTTCACGTCATATCGACAGACAATTAGATTATTAATAATCTCAATGCCGTTATTCATAGACAGGGAACCAATACTTTCTGTCTTGAGAAACAAATTCAATATCTTATCAGTAATTAATTCTTGCGATAACTTTTGATTCCTATTCTCTAAACTCATGAGAATAATGGATCCAATTGTGTGATGATTGGGATCGACACTAAGCAGTAGTTCTAATACTTGTCCACCGATTATCTCATAGTACTGTCTTAGGGAACAGTAGAGCGCCGGCATCGCTGACACAATCGTACCAATCGCTTGGTATCGCTGGTGAAGAGTTGTCTGTCGTTGAGATGTCTGGTCGGTGTCGACCACAGCGTTAATTAGTGATAATAGTCCCGCTCTTTGGCACAAACACTGCGACAAACACTTAGAGATCTCATTATTAGACCACTTAATGGCTCGACAACGAGATAGTAATAACAGATTACGGATAACAACCAAGTGATCAAAATCAGTCAAAAGTGATGACAACTGTTGACCAATCATTTCTTTGTCGACATCGGATTCGCTGTCGTGTCGGACAGTCATCAATGATGCCATCAGTGGTGCGAAACAATCTTCAAGAAGTATACGAGATATCAATGATTTGGCGTTCAGAAGACGAATCAAAATTGTGGTCAAATTGAGTACAAATTGGCGTGAAATCAATTGTCTGTCAGTTTGTGTCAAACCGTTGCCATCAATGGTAAGAAAGAGTTCCGTAATTCGCTGGAAGTGTTGACTAACATATGGTATAATTGTCATTGAAATCACTTTAATCACTGTTAACCTAATGGTCATAAAGTTTTGATTAGAGACCAGTTCTTCGGCATTCAATGGGTTGAGCAAAACGATGCACCGAATCATCGCATCCGCCGATCGCCACAAACCTCTTGAGCGGCCATCGAGTGTCTGATCGGCCATCAGTTCATTCAAATCGGATTCAATGGTTGAGTAAATGTCCGCAAAATTTAAGTCATTATCACATAAATGGCAAACTTCTGACACAATCTCATCAAACGTTTGCCAATCGATTGACTCTTTATGACAATTATTGGTCAGTTTAGTGATTGTCTTGAGATAATCGCATATCTCTTGTAAATTATCCATAATTTAAGTGATAATCAAATGAATATTAAATTCAATTCAATTCAAAGCAAACATTAAAAACAGCAAAAAGTTTTGACATAACGTTAAAAAACACATTTTCACGAACAGACATATAGACAGCCATTTAAACAATACGTATACACAATAACGTTACAAATTAAGCGTTTGGTTGGCATTAAAATTATGGCCGCTTTTAGTTTGTTTTTACACTATATTTCAGTTCAAACCCCCTTCACATTCACCGCCCCTTTCATTGCCCCCTATATTACACAAAAATGTTGTCACTATATATAGGTCTGACTCGTGTGGAGCGCATGCGTAGAGCGTAAACAACGTGAAAGCCATTGCTTTCAATCTATACATCCCTTTCCTGTCATACACTCAAACCGATCGGTTGTCCACATAATGGGTATCACTTTATTTGATCCATTCATACCATTGCCACCAATACTAACGCTTATGACTCGCTGTATGTGATGTATAGGTAAACCAAAAGGACTGCGAACCGCCCGTAAGCACCGCAATCATCGCCGGGAACAGCGCTGGCACGACAAGGACTTCAAGAAAGCACATCTCGGTATGTCTTGAGGGCTAGTTTTTTGTGATGTATAGGTAAACCAAAAGGACTGCGAACCGCCCGTAAGCACCGCAATCATCGCCGGGAACAGCGCTGGCACGACAAGGACTTCAAGAAAGCACATCTCGGTATGTCTTGAGGGCTAGTTTTGGTGATACCAGCGGTGGTTAAGTTCATACGCTATGCCCGCACCCATTGACCCATTAATTGTCCAATTGATCGATGATTTGTCCGATTGTACGACTAATATGTGTTGTCTTTGTGTGGATTAGGCACCCGATGGAAAGCGAATCCGTTCGGCGCGCGGAGGGTACGCTTCCCGTATCACAATCTCTTCCACCCGCAACTCCGGTTTGTCGGGTTGTCGCGCTAGGCCTTCACGCACTCTCATGTCGACTAGTTTTTGCCGTTTTTCTAGTGGCGAAAACAGCCGCGAGACGGTTGTCTCAACTTCATTGAGGAGAACGACGAGGTGTTGGTCGCCGGCTTCGGTCGTAAGGGTCACGCCGTCGGAGACATTCCCGGCGTTCGCTTTAAGGTCGTGAAAGTGGCCAACGTTTCACTCCTCGCCCTCTATAAGGAGAAGAAGGAGAGGCCCAGGAGTTAGGAATCGCCGCCGAAGACGCCTTTCCACTCAAATTTGATGACAACATAATTATTATAAAATCAATTAATTTTAAAATAAATGATTTGAATTTTTTCGGACATAAGTTTCACTTTATTTGGTTTGAATTTCTATGCGTCCAAAGATTGTGTTTGTATTTCTTTGTCTACTCTCTTATAGTTGTATTGAAAGTGTTATCGAAAATGCGTGGATAGAGAGAGAGAGAGAGAGATTCCGGGCATAAGTGTCTTAGGTGAGAGTGAGATAGAGGTTTTTGTCCAAATTCTCAATCTCAACCTCGACCACGAGTTAGAGCATAAGTACTTTATTAGAATTTTTCATCACTGAGAAAAACCGCCACATTGTAAGCGCATCTGTTATTGGCTAAAGTTTGTGAACTATGGCATCAGTGCTTGGGTCCGCTTGGGACAAACTGTCCAACGCAATGATAGGTGACATGATAGACAATAACAAAACGATTATTCCGTTGTAATTTCCCATTTCAAACTATTAAGGAGCTGAGTTTTTGATTGAGTTCTAAGTTAGAGATTGAGAGGATATTTTTAAAAGTGGTGTTTATGAATACAAAAATGCTCTTTTTCATGAGTTTGAGTCAGAGTGGGAGTGAGAGTGTTGTTCATGCATACGCTTGTAATCATTGAGTTCTAAGTTAGAGATTGAGAGGATATTTTTAAAAGTGGTGTTTATGAATACAAAAATGCTCTTTTTCATGAGTTTGAGTCAGAGTGGGAGTGAGAGTGTTGTTCATGCATACGCTTGTAAACATAATTATCTAAATAAGTGTTTAAATTGAGTTAATTTTATAGGAAAACATGTGCTGTAAATGTGTTTAAATGAGTGAAACAATTAAACGGATAGTTAGTGAATGTGTCGATAGGTGTCAGTGAAGGCATGTGTTGTAGACATTGAATGTAAACATAAGTGCAGATCACGTGATGTGAAGTGAATGTTAACATAAATATTGATGCAATGGTTAACCAATTTGTCAATTGATTTGCCATTGAATTAGCGATTAAATCAAAACACAATTAGAGTTTGTATTAAACCATACATTGTTTGCATTGATAGGTGTGTCGAGTGAGCCATCAATGCATTCAATCACTGCTTTTCATTGACACTACGTTTCAATTGATCTCAAAATCCAAGAAATAAACAAAAAGAGAGAAAATGTTTTCCAATAAACGTTTGGACAGAAAGTCATTAAACGAGTCGTTAAACAGCAAAAGGTGTCGATTCGCGGCCAACGGGTCCGCCGGTGACCACTCGTCCTCCTCGTCGTCGGCGGTG